ACAAGTGACCCGTCACAAGCCCCAGGCAAGAAACCAACCCCCCCACAAAGTTCCACGGCACAAACGTTTCTTTTGTGTTACATGAAAATTTCAGGAAAATTCATACACTTGTCAGAACCTGAAGACTAGAAGAGACAAAGGAAATGCCGAGGTCAGCAAGAATTCTGCAGCTGCCGCTGGGCCAGCAATGGATGAGGCCCTCGGAGCATGGGTGTCAGAGGGGAGCATCTTCCAATGAGATCGAATTTCTTACTTCACTGCAAGAGGACCGTTTTCTGAATGTCCGTGTCAACGTTTATGCTCATCAGGCAACAAAAAGTACTTTTCAGTGACGGGAAGCCGCAGCCTAGTGACCAAGGGTGTTTCCCTTCCTTTTGTCTCCTCAGGGGTCCTATCTGTGAGCAGGTGCACAGATAGGGAACTTGTTGAAATGTCTGTGGGAACCGATACGAGAATGAGGGAGGGAATGAATGAGTTGCATAGGACTGCTTCGGATATAAACTAACCTTTCTCCCGGTTTGCTTCAGTGTTAAGTAACCTGTTGAGTAAGTGTCACCTTTCACGGCACTTCTCTCCTGACCCTTGGCCTCCTTTGGCAGTGTTGCGGCTCCCGGTGTTCTGTGGGTGCCCAGCCCCACCCTGCATATTCCCACGATGGCCCAATTTTACGTTGGAAAGTGACGTGGGAAGTGAGAGCCCCCTGGACGCCTTCCTCCCAGGCCCTGGGCCTGGCCGGGGGGGTTCCCTGTGAGAACCTCCCTTCCCTCTGCCCTAGCTCCTGGAGACATTCAGACCTCACTTCCTGCATCAGGGACCTCTGCACCCTCCTGGAGCTTGTCCACCCTCCACGGGGAGAAGGCGCCTTTCTGCCAACCGGGAGCCCTTGAGCCTACGCCAGAGCACACTCGGATACACCCGCTGCTTGATGAGCCCTAGGCATCCATTTGTTCCGGCGGTTTGTGCTTCATTCCAAGACTCTTGCTGGGTTTTGCCCACTTTTCTGCCTTTTGCTGCTCACCAACTTAGTAGAGGATGAGTAAACAGCACTCAGTCTGGCTCCAGCCGTTTTGTGGGTGGAAAGGAGCTCAGAGCTGTTCGAGAAGGATATTGGCAGAGAAGTGTGTGGCTGTCGCATGTGGCTCCCTGCCGGCCCGGTCTGTTTAATCACGGGCAGACCACTGGCACATTGACCCCCAAAGACGCAGATGTCAAGGGGCTGAATCCCATGGGGGGATTCCCAGCCCTCTGACCCAAGGTGTGTCCTGGCCTTTCTCTGCCTTCCATGGTCCCTAATTCTTCTCATGCCACTGGTTGGGGATTGTGAGGTCTCTAACTCCACAGGGTGGTTTGGGTGTAGGGTCATTAGGACAACAGCCCAGCTCTGGGACGTGGAAAACATGATGTCTTATGCTGAGAACAAGAGGCTTGTCTCGGGACAGAGGGAGCACATGTTACGTGGATATGGATCCGTCTACTTACCCACTGCCCGCTGTGGGGACAAATCCCTGGCCACACAGAGCAGCTAGTTTCAAGGGCACGGCCACTTGAAACCAGCTCCCGGTTCTGTGCAGCTGCCCGGTACCTCTGCAGACAGGGGACTACTCTGTCTGCTGATCAAGTACAAATTAAGCCCTTTCCAGACCCCGAGAGCTGCTCTCTTCAGAGAATTAAGCCATGACTATTTCTCTTTCTTCTTTCTCATCTCATGATTTTATTTACTTTGAACAATATACACAGATGTCTTTCTTAAATGAGATGAAGCCCAGAATCCAGGGATCTGTTTCAAGCACGGTGGATTTCTCCACATCACTCACAAGAACTGGCTTCGCCTCGCCTGTGTCCCGGCTCTGATTACTGGAACGCCAGCCCTGCATGGGGAGGGGGAAGGGGGGCTGCCACTCCTTTGCCCTCAGCATCCCCGGTGCAGCTGGGCTGGGGCAGGAAGTGGTGGACAGAGGATGCTTCCCTGCCGCTGTGGGGCTGTCTGCAAACCGCCTCCGCATACACGCAGCTTCTGCAGCTGGACTGGGTTGCAGGCTTTTGGGCCGCGGACAGATGCCAGGACCAATGTCAACACCATGATGCAAACACTGAAAACAAACGGGAGAAAGTGTGTTTTGCATCCAGGTCCTGGTTTCACGGTCGTATTTGCTGACCCAGCACATCACTCTCGCTGAATCTTAATGAAAACATTTTGGACATAGGTGCTTTCGTTAAAGTGACTTCAGAGCATCGTTGATCCAGGTTCTCAGTGGGACACGGTGCTGCCTCCCGTGGCTGTGGACTGGCCAGTGTCAAAGCAATGCCACATTTCACTTTTTTCTGCTACATCTCCTTGCTCTGCCAGCTTTATTTTTATTTTACAAGACAGCAGAATGTTTTGGTGGAGGGTGAGTACCCAGGGGAATCATTTTCAGGGGGAGGATATGAGGACATTGGCACAAGGAAAACTTTATGTTCTAACTGCATTTATTTTACTGGGTTTTTTTTTTTTTTTTTCCTGTGATGGCTTAACAAGTTGGAAATTCAGAAACCCTTAGAAAGAGAGGCAGTTTGATTTAATGGTACACAAATGGATCTTAAAACCATCCGTCCCCTAGCTTGTCTATGTTGGAGAACTGTCAGGCCCAACAGAGCTTTAAAAACTGTCCTGTGCAGTCCAGTTGCTCGGCCCCAGGCTGCAGCCCCAGCCCCCCCCGCCCCCGCCTTGGGAAGGGCGTTTGTGGAATCCTGGCACTGAGAGGTTACTGCAAGTCATTACTGCTCACTTTTGCAGCATCTACCGAAAAGAAAACACACTCAGATGCTGGGTCTGGCCTTTCTCCCCCGTGCCGGTTTCTAGGCCTTTGCTTTGCTGTCAAGTCCATTGTCCCCCAGAGCGTGGGGCAGCGGCAGGAAGCGGGGCACCCGGAAGCCTCATCACCAGGGTGCCTCCGAGGGAGGAGGCCAGTGTGGGAAGATGCAAACTGGGGACTACCTTCAGATCATCCTACCCCACTGCCCTCACCCCCCAGGTCTCTCTTCTTAGTACCCATCTCATTTCCCAACAGATTTCCAAACTGGGGACTACCTTCAGATCATCAAAACTGTTGCTCTGGGAAGGCATATGCTAATGAGGTGGGGCCCAGGACCTTGCTGATCTCTTACGGTGGACCCCTTTCCTGCCCCTCCCTCCCCCTCACTCCCCCCATCTGCAGTGCAAGGGGAAAGCAAGCTGCCTGTTTGCCTTTCTCTTTCAACACTGCTACTGATCAGAAATCCAGAAGGGTTTAAATGGTTAGGGTTAGGGTTAGGGTTAGGGTTAGCTTCAGCCTGCTTAGGACAAGCAGGGAATGGAAGAATTAGAACTTTCATGCCCCCAAGAGGTGGTACAGATTGAAAACATAATTAAGTGCAAAAAAAAAAAAAAGGTTTAGATTGATTCATAAGTGACCAATTTCCAGAATTTTCCAAGGGATCTAGAGGTTACTTATATGTAAGTCTCTGCTATGTACAAAAGAGACAGAAGGATTAAGCAAAGGTCCTTGCATTCAAAGCGCTCACAGTCTAGAAAGGAGATGAGACACCTGCCCACAGAGCAGGTAGGTGAGAGAGCCCCACCCACACACAATGAGCAAAGCCTTCCTGCTCCCCCCGCTATGAGACCTTTCTCAGCCTGGGGTGAATGCAAAGGAACACAAATCAGGCTCTACTGGTGTTGAAGACTAATGAATTTACTAAAGACTAATGAATTTACATTTACTAAAAAATGCTTGAGGGGGCTCTGAAACGCTGAGGGATTGGGTATTACATAGAACACAGTGAAGACTTAATGGGGAAAAAAATCGCCTTACCGTCCCAGGTTCCACATCTCATGGTGACAGCTGAAAATCTCTTCTCTCATAGAGTCAGGCCTCCTGCTGCTTGGCTGTATCATTTAGTCCTCTCCTTTGTCCACCTCACACCACATTGCCCCCCACAGCCAGCCCCACAGATGCTGTTTTCCTTCTCTGCATTCTGTTGGCCGCCCCACTCCATTTCTACACCCACTTCCCCCATCAGCCAATGGACACTTTAGGGGAGCAGAGCAAAGGAATGGCTCCTTCCTGATGGCATCTGAGTTTTGAGCTCCTGAAGAACAGAGAAGATTAATCTCCCCAAACTTTGTGACTGAAATCTCCCATCTTTTTGTGTTCTGGGAAATGACTTACGACAGAGAACCATCCTTCCCCACGTGACTTAGATAAGACCCACTGTTATTGGCTGAATGTATCCCCTCAGAATTCGTATTTTGAAGTCTTGAGTTCCTAATCCCCAGTACTTCAGAATGTGACTGCATTTGGAGATAGGGTTTTAAAGAGGTGATTAATTTAAAATGAGGTCAGAAGAATGGGGCCCTAATCCACTACGACTGGGGTCCTTATAAAAAGAGAAGGTCAGGACACAGACATAAACAGAGAGACAACCCTGTGAGCTGTCCAAGCGAGAAGATGGTCATCTACATGCCAAGGAGAGAGGCCTCAGAAGGAACCAACCCTGACAACACCTTGACCTCAGACTTCCAGCCTCGAGAACTGTGAGAAATAAATTTCTGTCGTTTCAGCCCCCCAGGCTGTGGTATTTGTCATGGCAGCCTTACCAGACTAAGACAGCCACTGTTCAATCCTTCTTGTGACCCCCATAAGACTCACGGATGACTTCATTATTTACCTGTGACAAGGCCAGATAAAGACCCTCCAAATTACTATCTTCATTTCATAAATCATTAGCTGAACTGTTTGTTCCCTCAAACTTGCTAGACACAGAGGCAGACATATCTTGTTCAGCTGACAGACAGACTCCTGCTTGCAAAATCATCCCAACTGTGAAAGGACCCATCTGTGGCTTGTCCACTCCTCCCTAAAATATCTAGATGAAACCACTGGTGAGACACTCTGGTCTTCGGATCTGTGGTGCTTTCCGTCCTGCAACAGCCTGAATACAATCAGTGCCCTTACCTGCTTGTCTTTTGTCTTTGACAGTTTGGTGCTGGAAGCCCATCCGGATCCCGGCTTCTCCACCCAGATGCTGAAGCCCCTCCACCCTGTCATGCTCCTTTCTCATCTGGCATTCCAGGGATCCCACGTGAGCCCAGCTCCTGGTCCTCTGCTCTGGACATTTGTCTGTGGTAACATGGTAAGGACTTAAGTTTGCTTCTTGGTTTGGGTGCTCTTTTGGTTTTGTCCTTTTGCTGGCTTCTGTTCAACCCTGGTACTATGGAAACTCTGAATCTACTTCTCAGCCCTTTCTGAAAATCTCCTCTGATTATATGCTTTACCACTATGGTGGCAATCCCGTTCCTTATCTCAAAAAATGGCAGGGTTTTACTGAGAACAACTTAGAACTGCAGTGGTCTCTTTGGGGCACCTAGACTCTCCTAAAACTGGTCCATCTAAGAGGCACCACCAAATCTCAGGGCTTTAAGAGCTCTCCGCCTCCATCGTCAGCTCATTGTGCTTTGCATGGAGGGGGACAAATGAGACAATGCCTCCGGTCTATCTCAAACTGTACTTAAGAATGTCTCTCTCGATGTCTCTCTCATGAGCAGCTCTCTGCTTCCCAGCTCCCCATCATAACCTGTACCATTGGCGCTTCCTACCTACAATGGAAAGCTCGTGACCTGAACGCCCACCTGAACAAAGACTGACTCAGATTTCCATGCTCTTGGTAAAGAATTTCCAGACAATAAGAGTAGGGAAGAGTTTGCAATTAATTCAGACTGGTCCTCAAGGCATATTCACCTGTGATTCCTGATTTATACCAACTTGTGCAGCAGCTGGTGGGTCCCAAAGTTGCCACTGTATGATTTGAAAAAGCCAAATGGGCTTCATGAGGACCTTGCAGAAAAATCAGAACACCTCTGAGGCTTACGGACCAAAACCATTAGAGGAACTTTAGAATCCATTCCCACTGTTTTCTCTTAAAAATTGATGGCCAATGATACAAGATTGCAGGCAACAAAGAGATGAACCCACCTCTATGGACATAGACTAGAAAATGCTGGGAAGAACTACTTCAGTCTTGCTCTTGACAACTAACCGCTCTTTATAAGTAATTTTGTAAATGGCTTACAACCAGAAATTAGAGATATTATCCAAAAATGTCATGTAAATAAAATACTCCTCTCTCTGAAAATGTACACTCACTCAACACCATGGAGACACCATTGCAGAAAAGGTCAAATCAACACAGTGCAAACCAAAGCCTTTACAACTTAACTAATTAGGAGAAGCAAGTCAGGACAGTCCGCTTCCTCCAAAACTCCCCACAGAGACACTTGCAGATAACATCAATAAAAAGGATGTTGGATTTGGGATTGACTGTTTAAAATGTAAAAGGGAACAAGAATCCAAATTCTATCTCCCTGATGACATTCTCTGTGGGACCCTCCCCCTGTGTCTACACTAACATGAAAGAGGAGACAGTCATTCCCATGCATGGGCACCCCGTTCCCTTCCTAGTGGACCATGTACAACACATCGTACCATTAACACCTCTCATTTCCCACCCCTCTCCCCTGTACAAAAACCATACTGTGGAGGGACTTGATAATTGATCACATGACTGCCTTTCTCTGAACCTCTTCCTGTCTTACTGGGATCCCTCACTACCCAGCATGGCTTTCTGCTTAGCTTCACTACTCAGTAAACCTTCTTGAAAGGTTTCCAACTAGACTATCAGTATTCTTGGCTTCTGCAACAAACTCACCATTGAGGTCCCTGGTTCCCTGCTCACACTTTTTTCCCTTTCATGACTCTCATTGACCATCAGATTTTTCCTTCTCCTGTCAAAATCCTGAACCCCATTTAAACCCTCAGGTATCAACTAGGTACTTGACTTTCTTTGAGCTGCTCACTCCACTGACATAGACCAAAGCTAGGAGGCTAAACCTCTCCGAGTAGAAAAAGAACTTTCTGTATCACTCTTAGCATAATACCCTCTACCATAATACCCTCCAAAACAAGAATCCTTTAAAGTTTCCAGCCTATAATTCAAGGCCTCCTTAACAAGGGAGTCTCAGTGCCCACATCCAATTCCTATAATACCCCCCTCTTCCCCTTGGAGAAGCCAAATGGGATACCACCTAGTCCAAGGCTTGAGGCCAATCAACAAAATAGTTGCTTTCAGGTTTCTTCTAGTTCTGAAGGAGTCCAGCCATTCTCCCCATCCAACACCGCTTGCTTCATAGTTATCAGCTTATGTTCTGCTTTTTCGAATATGTTTTTCAACCCTGACGCATAATATATTTTGACTTCATACAGAAAAGTCAACAATACAATGCTCCATCCTGTTTCAGGGGTTTACTGAGGTCCCTACTTATTTGGCTAGGTCCCTAAGTACAGATCTAAGAGATTTAACCCTCCCCTGCAGTTCTGTCTTTATCCAGTGTATAGATGATATTTTTTTTCTGCTCACCTGATTTTGACAGCTCATTTATTACCCCCCCTTATTCCAAGGTCTTGCCTGACAGGGCCATAAGCTCTCCAAAAACAGAATGCAATGATGGAGTCCTCAAGTGCATGATATCTCCTCTAAAAGGAAGATGTTGTTCCCTAAATGAATTAAGACTATTATTAATTTCCCTCTTCCTGAGACCAAAAGATGACTCCAAGAATTTCCAGAATTCGTTGACTGTTGCAGAAACGGGACTCCTAATTTTTCCACTATAGTCTCTCCCTTATGTGCCATGGCTAAGGAGACCATTCCCAAACCCTTTAGTTACTCTCCTTCCATACCTTCGTTTCAAAGCCTCCCATCCTCTCGATCTTCTCTTTTGGATTCCGTGTTTTGGACTCACTGTCCTTTTCCCTTTTTATACACAGAAGGGAAGAACGTGCTTTGGGGTCTTCACCTTATGTGCTTATAGTCAATGTGCTTTTGGAGTTGTCCATGATTGTGTTATGTTATGGAAATAAAGTGGGTCTGGGTCACCTACCAAAACTGGAACCCAAATCACTGGCCTATTGGAGGCTTTACCCAAGAAATTAAATATTCTCAAAATTGAAGTTCATAATAGTAGCCACACCCTCAAAATTAAAGGAAACTCCTCGTGTGACAAATATGTTATAATATGTGCTTCCCAAGAAAAATTTCCTTGATTACTTGCATACTTCCCATTGCTCAACCTTCTTTAGAGATGGAAACTCTACTTAGGAAGCTTAGGGCATATCGGCTGCTAACACCTCAGCCTGATAAAACTAATTGGAAATATGTTGGATATTTGATCCCCTCAGATGAGCTTTGGAGATGCCCAGATGGTTCCTGGGTCTCTTCTTTATCCCTTACCTGACCACAGCCTCCATAACATTGCACATCATGGCAAAGGTAATCTTAAAGGTCTCCTCCATATTGGTGACGTTGCTTCTAAAACCTTCATATTGAATAGGTAATGTCAAATTGCCCCATGGGTCAGAAAAATAATCCTGGTGAAAATGTAAATTTAAGACAAGGATAGGAGCCAGCTCCCTCTGTCCCTGTTTTTATTGACAAGTGGGTTGTATCACCACTTCCTCAAGTCTTATGAGCATGAACATGTTCTAACCTTAGTCTTATATTTTTAAGATAATTACAAGTGAGTTATTATTTAAAATTTTTTTTTATTTTTGTTTTTGTTTTTAAACTACCAGGCTGACGCTACCATTGTATCTTCTACTACAAAGAATTTTTGTCACTTGGGGGAATCCTTTTGTTCTTCTCCAGTGATAGAGGAACTCATTTCATTGCTGAGGTTATGTGGGACATTCAACGAATATTCCCTTTCTCACAAAAATTGCACTGTCCTTATCACCTTCAATCCTCTGGAAAAATGAAATGGATTGATAGTGCTCTAAAACTTGAATTCATCAAGCTCACTGAGGAAGTCAACCTGCCTTGGTCTGAAGTCTGTCTTTATTTATTTATTTATTTATTTATAAAGATTTTATTTATTTATTTGACAGAGAGAGACACAATGAGAGAGGGAACACAAGCAGGGGGAGTGTGAGAGGGAGAAGCAGGCCTCCCGCGGAGCAGGGAGCCTGATGTGGGGCTCCATCCCAGGACCCTGGGATCATGACCCAAGCCGAAGGCAGACGCTTAACGACTGAGCCACCCAGGCGCCCCGGGGTCTTGTCTTTAGTCCTGATGATTCTGTCCTTCTCCCCTTCCACTCAACATTGGTTGTCTCCTTATGAAATAATTACCATCCCAATGAGATCCTTTGCTCCTCCTGGACCTTAGAAGATCCTAACCTGATATAATCTTAGAAGATCCTAACCTGATATAATCTAATGTCCTTAAATACTGCCAAGGTCTTATTAAATACTCTCATACTTATTACCAACAGGCTACATCTGCTTTTCTCCCAGAGGCTCCATGGTAGCCCTTACCTGATCTTCAGATTTGAGACCTAATTTTCTGGAAAGATATCACTCAAGATCTTGAACCAGGAGGAATGGAACTTTCACTGCTCTCTGAACCGCTATATTGCTGCAAAACTACATGTAGTACAACCTTGGGTTTATGTTTCACAGTTAAAAAAATTATAAGCCTTACTCTGAATGGAAATCCATTCTAGTGGGAGACCTTAAACCAGGGTTCCATGAAAGCCCCCAGAAGCAGATGACACTGCAAAGGAGACTGCTTTCACAAGACTCTCAGAACAGGTAAATGGCATCCCACGTGTTGGGCATGCATCCTGTCCAGAGCTGCACAGGTAGACCTTATTTTATTGTGCTTTGCTGTTATTGCAATTTTTTACAAATTGGAGGTTAGTGGCAACCTCTCATCGAGCAAGTCTCTTGGTGCTATTTTTCCAACACATTTGCTTACTTTGTGTCTCTGTGTCCCATTTTGGTCATTCTCACAATAGTTCAAACTTTTTCATTGTTATTATATTTGTTATAGTGATCTGTAGTCAGTGATAGGACTCTCTAAAAGCTCAGATGATGGTTAACATTTTTTAGCAATAAGGTATTTTTTAAATTAAGATATGACTTTTTTAAAGACATAATGCTATGCCATACCTAACAGACTACAGTACAGTGTAAACCTTAACTTTTATATGCACCGGGGAAGAAAATTTCATTTGACTTGCTTTATCGTGATATTCGCTTTATTGCAGTGGCCTGGCCCTGAACTCACAATGTCTCTGAGATAGGTCTGTAAATGCTATTCTGCAGCCATTGACTTAACAAATGATTCACTCATGGATCATGATCCAGCAGCCCTGAGACCAACTCTGCCTCCAGCTGAATTTGTGCACAGGGGCCAAATCTGAGCTGACAACTTTATAAATGGACTCACAGTGGGGCAGATCTGGACATCCGCATTGCCTCATTTCCAGACAGAGCCGTTCCAGCACAACCTCATGATGGTGTTGAATAAGAGGAGGGACTGGCGATGTTGAACTTTACCTGAGCCCTGGTGCTTCCAGAAAACAGTGAAGGCTAATCCCTTAATCTTTTGTTCTCCAACGTCTCCTACTCTTTTGTGTTCTGAGAAACAGTTTATTGCAAGGACTAGCCCTGCCCCATGACTTAGATAAGACCAACTGTCCACTTGTTCTTGTGACCCCACAAGAATCATGGATGACCCCATAGTTTACCTGTGACAAGGCCAGACACAGGCCCTCCAAATTCCACCTTTGTTTCATAAGTGATTATTGAACTCTTTTGTCTTCCAAAACTAGGTGGATGCAGAGATAGACATTTCTTGTTCAGCTGACAGACTTCTGATTACAAAACCATCCTCACTATGAAATGACCCACTGTGACTTTTCTACTCTTCCCTATAAACATGTAGACAAAACCACTGCACAGACACTCTGGTCTGAGGATCTGGGGTGCTTTCCCTACTGCAATGAGAAACTAGCTTTTATTGAGCACTTAGTATGGGTCAGGTGCTGTTCTGAGGGCTATACATATTACCTCATTTAATCCTCACAATTCTATGGGGTAGGTATTATGTTTTCCCCCAGTTTTCAGAAGAGCAAAGCAAAGTTACATAACTTGCCTTTTGTCCCATGAAAGAAAACGGCAGATTTGAGGTTCAACTGCAGCATTTTCTTTACGGTCTGAGCTACGGCTATGAATTCTCATACATTAAATACTTATATACGTATTTTGCCATACTAGTAATAGAAATCAGAAGTGCTCTGCAAAGCGAGGAATTAAGAGATGGAGGAAGGTGGCATTTGAGGATCGTCTGGAAGTTGTTGAGCAAAGATGGAGAAATGACTTTGCAGGCCATGAACAGGTTCATGTCCAGCAAACAATAGAATCAGGGTCTGGACTCAGGAGAGCTTTTTTGGAACCAAGCTGCAGGTTTAGGAATCATCCACATAGAAGTGCTGAGGGACATTGAGAGAGTTTTTTCAGAGCATCATTGGGGTTAGTGGTCACATGGCCATGGGTTGATGAACTAGCAGGAAAAGGCAGAAAGTACTGAACACTTTTTCAAGAAGTGTGATGGCAAAAAAATGGAGAAAATATAAAAATAACTGGAGGGTCAGGCAAGTGCCTAAAACATACGTGTCATGGTGACATCTGTAATCTATGGAAGTAGATAATGAGCTTTACTATTTTCCAGGTACCAGGCTAATCACAACATTATTTGATCCTTCCCTGGTGACGTGGATACCATAACCATCTCCATATTATGGATGAGGATAATGAAGCTCAGAAAGGTTAACAGGAACTTGCAGGCCAGAGAGCAACTGGAACTCCCATTCATACATTGTCCGTGGGAATATCAATTGGTACAACTGCCTTTGGAAACAGTTTGGCATTTTTTATAAGGTTAAACATACACTTACCATAAACCCTAGCATTTGCTCTTTGAGGAATTGGTTCTCTCCAAGAAAAGTGAAAACCACTAGTGTTCATAATAGTATTAGGCATAGTAGCACCACACTGGAGACAACCCAACCCATTTTCCCATCAGTAAGTGAATGGATAAACAAGTTGGGACATAGCCTTACAATAGGTCACCACTTTGCCGTAAAAAGGAACTGACTACTGATATACGAAACCACTAGGGATGAATTGTGAAGTCATTATCTTAAGAGAAAGAAGCCAGACACAGAGAGAGCACAGACAGCATGATTGTTTATAACAAACTCTTGAAAAGACAAATCTAATCTATAGTGACAGAAATCAGATCAGGAGCTAAGTGTACACATTCGTCACACATAGGAACATTTTGTTGTATGTAAATTATATTTCAATGAAGTTGATATAAATTTAGGGGAGCCTGGGTGGCGCAGTCCTTTGAGCCTCCGGCTCTTGGTTTCAGCTCAGGCGGTGATCTCAGGGTCCTGAGATGGACTCCATGCTCAGCATGGATTCTGCTTGAGATTCTCTCTCCTCCCCCCTCTGCCCCTCCCCAACCCTGCACTCGCTCATCCTCTCTCTCCGTCTCTGTCTCTGTCTCTCTCTCTCTCGTTCAAATAAATAAATCTTTAAAAAAGCTGATATAAGTTTAAAAACAAAAAAGAAAAAGTCACACGTACTGACATGGAATACTTTAAAAATAAGTCACAGAAACCTAAGCCTAGAATTACATTAAAAAATAATACAATTTTAATTACTTCCTTACCTATGTAAATACATGGAAAAGGATCCAGAAAAATCACAACAAAGTGATAGCTGAATGTCACCCAAGGGTAAAGGAGCAAGATGGAGGGGGCTTTTCACTCATAATAAATACATGTTCACTCTGTACTATTAGGTCTTTATAATAGTATGTATGTATTGTTTGTACACTGGCTTTAAAAAAATGATAAAAAAGAAAGACACAGACGTACACACCGACACAGACACAAAGGCACCTGTCCCAAATCACATGAATCTGAGCCCAGTTTTGACTGTAGAGCCAGAAGCCGAGAGCCACTGGGCATGGGGGCTTGGCTGTGAAGGAGGATCCTGGTGGCCTCCCCATCCGCTCCAAGCACAGGACACCCGGCTGGAGGAGCAGATGACCCAGTGGCCACCTTGCATGCTCTCCTGGACTCTGGACACTGTGGTAGCTCTGCAGATCATGTGAAACCACTAAGCCAGATTGGAGAATGCTTCAGTTTCTCTCACTTTCTCATAATATTTGCCTACAAAGCCAGAGCAATTGTGAATATTTTTTTTCTTGGTAAGTGTTTTCTAATGACAAACAATAATGTAGTTTCCTCTAGATTTGTGGCTCTTAATAAGGGGCAATTCTGCCTCTCAGAGGACATCCTGCAGAGCACAGGGCAGCCCCCACAGCAAAGGATTAGTCTGCTCAACACCTCAGCAGTGCTGAGGCTGAGAAGCCGTGATGTGGGCCACGCTGCTTCCATGCTACTCTTCAATCGTATCTAAGAAATAAAAAGTTTGCTTCAATGACAGAGGTTGATTCTCACAGTTATGTTCCATCTTTAAGTGTTTTATGAACCATTACGTTGAAAGAGAAACAGAAGAGTTGTCTTCTTGTTTCTGGACAAAAGTTGGTCTTGGGCAAGTACATGAAGGGCAACTTTGGGAAGTTAGGAAATGTGTTGGAAGAGAACTTGGCAATGATTATGGCACCCTGGGCTCTAGCTTTGGATCCTACATGCACCTGCTCTGTGTTCCTGTCTGGGGCGGGGAGGGGGGGACCTAACGCATCTTCAGCTCTCCTCTGGTTCCAGTCTTTATTCTCCAACACGTTCATGCGTGAACCGGTTTGGAGTGTTGCTGAAGCACAACAACATATGGGAGAAGGAAGAAGAAATAATTCCAGCGCTGCCTGCCACTCCCAGCATGTGCTCCCCGTGTGACCCGCTTCCTCTCTTGTGCTGAGAAAGGAGGAAGTCAGGCAGGCAGGAAGGCTGGCCAGGGGTGAGGTCCCAGCTTGGGGACCGGTGGTGTGACAATGGGCTGGACAGAGGGAACTCTGCGGTGCTTATGTGCACAGCAGGTCCAGGCAGAGAATTTGCTCAAAGAAACTCTCAGGAAAGTGGTGACCAGCCTTGGACATTTCAATGTCACTCATTGAAAAGAGCTGGGGGGGCCCCTGGGTGGTGCAGTCGGTTAAGGGTCTGACTCTTGGTTTCAGCTCAGGTCGTGATCTCTGGGTCGGTCGTGATTTCAGGGTTGTGAGACTGAGCCCCGCATCAGGTTCTACACTCAATGGGGGGTCTGCTTGAGATTCTCTCTCCCTCTTCCTTTGCCCCTCCTGCTCATGCTCTCTCTCTCTCTCTCTCTCTCTAAAATATATAAATAAATCTTATAAAAAAAAGAATTTTTTTCCAGGATGAATTCTAGCTCACTTAAAATATTTCTTATTAGAGTAATTCCAGAAACTAATATTTTTCTTTAATTCTCATGAAAGGTTTGCATTTGTGTTTTTGTTTTGTTTTCAGAAGCGAGTAAGAATAAGTGTTTTTTTTTTTTTAAGGTTTTATTTGTTTATTTGACAGAGAGAGAGACAGCGAGAGAGGGAACACAAGCAGGAGGAGTGGGAGAGGGAGAAGCAGGCTTCCCGCTGAGCAGGGAGCCCGTTGCGGGGCTTGATCCCAGGACCCTGAGATCATGACCTGAGCCAAAGGCAGATGCTTAACGACTGAGCCACCCAGCGCCCCAAGAATAAGTTGTTTTTAAAAGTATACATATTAAATTCTTTTTGTAGGTAATCCATGCACCTGGTAAGACATTTAAAT